TACCTTATAATTTTGATTTATTCAAGATTATACCAATATGCATAACATGCTACATGTCATTACAAGAGGGCCATGTGCAATATTTACATATGGTCTAGAGATGAGGTCATTGAACAGAGTAATTAAAAGATGTCACATGAATTAAGTTTAAACTGAAGTTTACACAAAGCAACTGATGAGGATTGCAGGAAAATAATTCATCACAATTTTGATGACCCTCCCTCTAGCCCCTTCAGAATCTAATGTAACCAATTCTTGTCTATTCATGTTTTTTACACATCACATCGGGGAACTGCTGCTTCTCAATGTCAGGCTTAACCAGTGTAGTGCTAAGTTTGCCTCACAGGTTCGGTGTCATACATGTACTTGCAGATTTGATCATTATAGCCATCTAATTTGCTGTTTGCTTCACATGTTCAGTGGCAAGATTCTTTCACTCAATCCAAGCCATTCACAGAGTCAATTACTTCATTAGGATCACATATTATCTATTGAGCTAAATCCGGATAAAAAAAACAAATACTGAAATGACCAAAGGGCAACAACTTTTGCAAAAATCGTCGAATCAAACTTCTTTTCAAGGAAACACAAAAACATATCATGATTATTTAGCCTACTAAGTTTCAAAGAAATCTGTCAAAAAATGTAGGAGGAGATCTCCCGACAAAACAATCAAATACTGAAATGAACAAAGGGCAATAACTTTTGGAATAATTGTCGAATCAAAATTCTTTTAAGGGGAGACACAACTTCATATCATGATTATAATGTATACCAAGTTTCAAAGAGATCGGTCGAAAAATGTAGGAGGAGATTGTCGGACAAACAAAAGTTTACGCCGGACGGACGGAAGGACAGACGGACAACGCCATACCATAATACTCCCGTCAAAACTGTATTTCAGAATTATTAATACCCAAATCTGGAGAAGTTTTCCTATCGCCAGTGGAATGCTTACTGTAGTTTAATTAACAATGCAGCCACATCCCACACACATGAACAGACCTGTCTAGATCCTGGAAAATATAATACTTGACACTTGTAGATTTAATTAACTGTGTCTGTGGTGATGTAAGGATTACAGCAGTTAAGTAAAACATAATATGCAGTCGTAGAATTGCCTGGTGTGTCTGTACTTTATTTTAGATGCCAACCAGGCACCAATTGAAGCTATTTATTGATATTATGCAAGTCCATGAGCTTTATAGACTAGCAAGTGCATTTTTTCTTCAGACTCAAGTATATTTCTCTTGCGGGCTCTAAAGGGATCTTGTATTGACAGTGCTTTAGATCTAGAACTTCCTGCTATTCCTGCTATACATTCAATAAATAGCAGGGATTGATCTTGTACTGACTGTGCTTTAGATCTAGATCTTCCTGCTATACATCCAATAAATAGCAGGGATTGGTCTTGTATTGACTGTGCTTTAGATCTAGATCTTCCTGCTATATATACATCCAATAAATAGCAGGGATTGGTCTTGTATTGACTGTCCTTTAGATCTAAATCTTCCTGCTATCCCTGCTACACATCCAATAAATAGCAGGGATTGGTCTTGTACAACAAGATAGCCACTATAGGAGCATCATATCCCCGGCTCCATCCCAACAAATACATTTCGCAAGAAAGACTGTGCAGAAACTGAGTTTTTATCTATAGAAACAGTGACCATGACCTCTGTTCTTTTGATATAAATTTTCTCTCTATATTAAGTGACCTTGACTTTTGCTTTTTTGAGTAGAATAAGCAGAGCATTATTTTCTATCTATATAGTATCAATGACTTTGACCTTTGCTCTTTTGATCCGAAAAAGCAAAAACTGATTTTCTGTCTATGATAACAGTGACAACGCACATTGCTATTTTGTTATGAAAAACAATCCAGTATTAGAGCACTTTAGACAATTAAGGAAGCCCGATATAGACTTGAGTATGATTAAGCTGTAGGTACAGAAGCTATCAGGAGGAAACAAATACGATAGGACAGACAGCAAGATGAACAGGTGTCATAAAAAACGTCTGTCTCTTCAACCTGATAAAAATGGTGTTGTTCTTATGACAACCAAATCTCATAACTTCTGGAACACTCGGCATTCTACCTTTCCGACCTGAGACCTCAGTTTCTAGTCATAAGATATACACAACTGTATTTGCATGTTGTACTTGAAACAATGACTATAGCTTACACACACTTTATGAGTGAGACAGTATGTGTCAGGAGTTATTTACTGACGTGGGAACAGAGAAAATGTCTGTCCCCCAACCTAGTGACCTGTGTAAATGAACTAAAGGTATATTAGTGTCAATCAGACAGCCATATCACTGAGAAAAAGTGGAATTGTAAAAACTACAAACTATTCTCTGGGTTCTCAGATTGAACAACTGGTGTACAAACCTATATAGTCTGTCTGTTTTATCATTGTTTATTAACTTAATATATACCATATAAACTTCATTTATTGAACAACACTAATGAAACAAGTGATTATATTAATCACTCTTGTTGGCTCGGATGTAATCGTGAGCACGGTCTTATAAAGTGGGAGGAAACCGGAGTACCCGGAGAAAACCCACATGGTCGGGCAGGTGACGTCCCCATACCTTTTCATGTCCAATTGGGGAATCGAACCCTGGCCGCCCTGGTGAAAGGCAAGTGTGATACCCAGTGCACCATGCGACCACCCTTGATTTCCCTACTACCCTTTATTAACCTTATTTCCTTAGTCCAGGTCTGTAAACACCTGCTTTGCTTCATTAACAAGGCTCCATATTGAAGTAGAATTCATAAAAATCAGCTGATTTTCTTGGGAAAATGAAGTGCGATAGACAATCTATGGTCAATTTTAATTTTCAAGATTTATTTCAATACAGTTTAAAAAGTAATAGGTGAAATCTGTTAGTCGTGTCTCAATTCTACAATACTGGAGCTGCTACTGGTGGTTTACTAACTTGAGACAAAAACAGTGAAACACGACACATCAAGGCTACAAGGTTCTATTGTAGTAACTTAACTCTTGTCAAGTATAGAGATGTTTATTAATTATGACATAAAGCGGAATACTTATCCTGTCAGCAATCAGCTGATCATTGGTCAGTCTGTCACCTGTCCTATGATCCCTGGTCAGATCTGTGACCTAAGGCTACCTATGGTGTACAGATAGTTATACTGCCCTAAAGGCTAGCAATCAATACCATACAGGACTCCATAAAAAGTACAGTTAAATGTGACTTTGATATCTCTCACGGAGCCCACTGCTCAAAAACGGATCAGCTTAATCAATTTACCAAAAAAAACAAGCAAATTCATGGAATTTATATCCCCCGCTTGCAGGACATATTGTAGGTTAACATTATTGAGGTTAGGTTTAAACATGTGAGTATCGTGCTGTTGAGATATAATGTATAGCTTGAAACTTGAAGAAGAAAAAAACCCTATACCTCATTGATTATCCTTAAATATGCACAAATCACATCGGTTGGCAAACTTAGCATGAATCGGATGTGCATACAGAATTTGGTTGAAACATCTGAACACTTATATCTACAGCAATTATCACACGAAAAACCAAAGAGTGCCTGAGATGGGTGGAAAGACAGGGGAAAACAAAAATTGTCATCAAGTTTGAAAGAATTTGGCTAATATTTGCTTGAGTTATTAAGCGGAAACTGCAGATAATGACGTTTTTTGTTAATCAAGGGGCCATAACTCGTTGAACCCTGTTACTAAGTTTATAAGAGAATATTTGCGAAAGTAATGAACAGAAACGGCTGATGATAACATTTTTCGCTACTCAAGGGGCTATAACTCCGCCAAATAAAGTCTGCTGAAAGTGGTCATCGACCTTGGCCGACCCCTTAAGGCATTTAACCCTGTGACCAAGTTTGAAGAAAATTGGTTAACATTTGTTGTAGATATTGCACGGAAACGAAGCGTGACAGACAGACAGACAGACGGACAAACCCAAATTAATATCCCCCGTTTCGATGAAAGCGGGTCAAAAAAAAAGAAAAAATCAGTATCTTGAGAAATATTTGATTTTGTTTTGTAACCTGACTGTATGCGATATTTTTAAATCTCAATGGATACAGTCTTAGTTCTGAATTTCAATATTCTTTAAACATATAAACTAGATAACGGTTCAAGTCAAGCTGTTGTTAAGCTTGACTAATGACGTTTGGCATCTTCAGCTTAATAGCTTTTTCATTCAAGTAAGTTTTCTCTGGCCTCTGAACAGGTTATGAGCCGTTTTTTCCTCACACCTTACATATTTAGGGATACTAGCAATCCAACAACACAAACGACTAAAAAATCATCTTCATAAAAGTATATGAAGGATATGATAATATTTTTAAGTAAAGCAAGGGTAGAATAAGTGGTTGTTATTATAAATGTTTGGTACACATACTTAAGTATTTACATGAATATACAATTAATAACATTTTATAAGCAATCATAGCAGAAAATGTAGGATTTTGTTGAGTATCCCATTCAAAATGGCGTGCAGCCTTGTTGTCAAGCATGGCGTCATTATAATATGGCGCTAATTATTATGCTTCTGATTCCTGCCCTTTTTTAATGCATTACATTTTTCATGTTTTATGCTTTAAAGATGTAATAAATAGAAAATTTAATGGTGACTTCAGTAAAAACAGATATATTTCACTCATGTAGTTAATTTTTTGATATTTTTCACCAGTGCGCAATATTAGCCACACTTGTGAAATATATTAGTTATTACTGAAGACACCATTAAATATCCTCTATTTATTAGTCTGTTAAGTCTCTTACTGGCACCATATCCATTCCTAGACAAAACAAAATTGATTCTGGGAATGGAAGCTAGGTTGCACAAGATCTGACCTGATTACACCTTGTTAAGGAGTCTTGGTTAATGCAGTCGAAGGAGATTGTGTCAGTTTCTATAACTGTGTTGACATCCCCATTATGATGACAATGATGAAAATAACAGATATTGAAAAAGTGTTATTAACCAACTTACGGGCCACTCCTGACCATAGACAAAAATATGACTTCTTGCTATGTCCACTCTGTCCCAAGTCAAAGCTAGACTCAGTTGGTCAGGTGCACTGGCATTCGTTCCTTCAACAGACAAACATTACCTGGTCATATACGATAAACATTGATAGGTATGAAATATTTAAAATGGGGTAAAATTTGTGCTTTGTGTATGAGAAAAATATTTACCTAAACCTGAGGAACCTCAAGATTGAAAAAAGACTGCTGTGATCGCCATCATTTTTTGAGCTATAGCCACTGGCTAACTAACACCCCCCAACAACAGCGACCCCCAACATCACCAACACAGAATGGAGAGCTCCCACAAAATACAGTTGAAATGAAAAAGAAAACACAATCGAAAAGCAACCTAAGTTAATGATAATGTATACCAAGATTCATTAATATCGATCAAGAAGATAAGTAGCTGGAATTGAATACATTTTATACTCATAAAAGAAAAGGGACATAACTCCAAACAAAAGCATCAAAACAAAAACATAAATCAGAATTGAAGAATTATCTAAGGTATAAATTAAATAACATAAGGGGAAAAAAAATGGTTAGCGAGCTGGATGTAAGAAGTTGTTTGTAAAAAAACGGAAATGAAAATCAGAAATGGGGCATATTTTCGATTAAACATTGAAAAGTCAAGGAATTCTGCTTGTACATTTAGGTTCCGTTTTGCATCCTTTTTTTTTTTTTTTTTTTGAACAAGCACATGTACAGCTGGTAGGTTCCTGAAACGGGATTATGAAAACCAGTAACAACATAACCAACATTCTTTGCTAGATTTCCCAACTCATTTAAAATTGCACAACAGTTGCCCATGGTAAAAAATAATCATGATCCTTTTAGTCCATTCCGAGAAATAGCAGTAACAATCTAACATACATCATACTTGCAATATTCAAGATGATATGGTCGTCTTTTTAATTTTGAAGATTATAAACCAAATTTAAAGCAAAAAGAATTAGTGACATAGGTGGATCATGTATACAGAGTTTCATCATGATCCCTTCAGTAGTCTTTAAGAAATACTGGTAACATACAGACTCACTGACTGAAGGATGGACACTTGACAATTAACATCCATCTGATCAGGATGTTGGGCAAATAAAGAGCAGAGGGCAAAAATTTGGTGGCAAATATATCCAATTACATGTATTTACAAAGGAAAATACCAAACATAATTGAGAATGTGTCTGATAACTGGCTAGTTGTTACACAAAGATCAACAATTTGACATCTTAGCTGATTGCGTTAAAAGAACACTGAATCCTTCTGCAGCTTTTTGTAAAGAGCACTCACCTTTGAGCAGCGCAGTAAGAATGGCAAGGTCTATGTCCTGAGCTCCCTCTCCCATGCGGAACACCGTTATCTGTAACACAGAGGACAGGAGTCCACATCAATGGAAGCAGCAGGCACTTATACCATCAGCAAATCTATTTCTGTCACCACAGAATCTTAGTCCCAATATCTATTAGTGTAATATAAATGAAACTGGAATGTCTAGAAATATCCGTGCCTCCATTACCTGATAATCAATGACTCCAGTCATCCGTTTTCAAATTCACTTTATTGCAGACGAGTGTTCTGAAGATTATTTCACAACTTATTATCAACTAATTTGTCCTAACTTGATTATCAACTAATTTGTCCTGACTTGGCTGTCGCGCATTCAAAAGAAATAATTCCAATAAACTTGTCTGGTAAAGAATACATTTTAAATACAATGATAAAGGCAAGGAGGAAACAAATTTAGATATGTATATCTTTTTGTCGCAGTCTTTAGCATTGAATTTCTATTAAAGGACAAGACAAAATAGAATTGTAGTATTTGCAATAGGAAAAGTAAAGACATAACTTTTGTTGTGAAAGCAACAATAAGCCCAGTACCTATCAAAGTGTATGCTACTTTTTTTAACAAATGAAATATATAATAAAATCTGAATATTAATCGTTTTGATGTATATGATTTCAAAGTTACCCAACAATGATAGAATTTGCCATTTTTTAAAAATTATTTTAAAACCCCAGGGCCCGGAATTAATGACCAAGAATCTACACTTAAAAGGCTTTGATAGACATGAAATTACTTCAATTATCATTACAGCCGATGTATTTCAAACCTAAATACCTTGTATTTGTCCGACTCATGGGCATGGCCTTTATAATGGTGCAAAGGAAAACTTTTTGACTAAACTTATAAATTTCTCATAAGCACAAGCTACCAAACTATCAAAGCACTAAAACTCCTTGTTCTGCTGAAGATTGTCTATGTGGGTCTCTGAGACAGCTGTACCCCAGCATCAACTAGCTACAGAAAGGTCCCAAGGGTAGAATGTCCTAGCTGCACTAGCTTATCTCCCTCTAGTTTGTGAACTTAGAATCGGACATCCAAGTGATCAAAATTATTAGAATTCATTTTTTCTGAACAATTCAATATTCTAGAGATGGGGGCAAATCCAGTCCCTAGGGCTGAAGTCATAGGATCAGTTTGATAGATCCCTTGTGTAAGGGGAGGTAATGAAAATGTTTAAGAACTGTAAATTAAAATAGGAAGTGATATGTAATGCTTTTGACACCGAGTTGCACTGTACTGATTAATCCCTTCACCTATGTAGGTATTAGTATATGTTTTATATACCACTACTGTGGTAATAAACCACCACCTACCTAGGTGTTAGTTCATTACAAGTTATAAACCACCACCTACCTAGGTGTAAGTTCATTACAAGTTATAAACGAACACCTACCTAGGTGTTAGTTCATTACAAGTTATAAACCACCACCTACCTAGGTGTTAGTTCATTATAAGTTATAAACCACCACCTACCTAGGTGTTAGTTCATTACAAGTAATAAACCACCACCTAACTAGGTGTTAGTTCATTACAAGTGATAAACCACCACCTACCTAGGTGTTAGTTCATTACAAGTTATAAACCACCACCTACCTAGGTGTTAGTTCATTACAAGTTATAAACAACCACCTACCCAGGTGTAAGTTCATTACAAGTTATAAACCACCACCTACCTAGGTGTTAGTTCATACAAGTTATAAACAACCACCTACCCAGGTGTAAGTTCATTACAAGTTATAAACCACCACCTACCTAGGTGTTAGTTCATTACAAGTTATACACCACCACCTACCTTGGTGTAAGTTTATAACAAGTTATAAACCACCACCTACCTAGGTGTTAGTTCATTACAAGTCATAAACCATCACCTGCCTAGGTGTTAGTTCATTACAAGTTATAAACCACCACCTACCTAGGTGTTAGTTCATTACAAATTGTATACCACCACCTACGTAGCCATTATTACACATTCAATAACACTACTATGTCACATCAGTACACTATATGATAAAATCACGCCAACAGTATAACTACATGTACACTTTAAAGGAATGGTGATCTGTCTGATCAAAAGGGCACTATAAATTTTGTGTCTTTTCACCATGAACTGACCTCCCATAAGTCATCAACAACATGGCAGTTTTAAGTCATGTAATTTATTTAAACCTTTATTTCCTTCTCTTGAGGGCACTATGGTCTGATACGGCATTGTCTTGGGATGAAGTAGCACACTCCCTTTCTACGAAGACACTCATCATCACTCAACATGATTAGGCCAGTGTGTCCTCAAAAGATGGAGTTGATTTGGAGTCAACAACAGCAGAAGACAACAGAGATTCTTAATATCGACACTTCGAAACATGATGTCACTATAGTGCCCTCTACGGGAGGTGCTAAAACATGATGCCACTATAGTGCCCTCAATAGGAGGTGGCAAAACAGATTTGTATCTTCACTTACCAGCTCCTTTTTCTTGATACACAACATTAACTCGATGAAGAGCTTCTCTGCTTGTTCTTGAGAATACTGGAATGTCTTCTGAATGGTTAGAATGAGCTGATCTCGTAAACTCTCCGGCATTGTGCTGAAATAACACAAAACAGAATTATACTTTCTTCTGAAATAACACAAAATAGAATTATACTTTCTTCTAAAATAACACCGAAAAAAAAGAAATATACTTTCTTTTGAAATAACACAGAAAAGAATTATATTTTCTTCTGAAATAACACAGAATAGAACTGATACTTTCCTCTCCTAAACAAGAACAACTTTCAAGTCCTAACAGTTTCCACCAGGACCCCACAGCGCGAACAGTTCAAAAACAGCTTTTCAGTACCACCGTTTTCCTCAACTCTGCTGTGCAAATGTTTTCCTCAACAACTTTTAAGTCCTAACAGTTTCCACCACTAATCCCAGTGTAGCAAGAATAATATTGTTGCTGTGTATTTTTTTCTTTATAAATAAATACACAACATTGGATATATAGCGCCCTATCTAGCTAACATAAGCCACTCTAAAGTGCTTTACAGTACATAGATATACAATTTTATTATACAGTCAATGCAATTAGCATATATATTAATCAATACAATATTGAGGAATTCGCAGGAGCTGCCTTATCAGGCGCTAACTACTAGTCCTATGCCACCTGGCTAATATCTCCCTATGTGTGTATGCCTGTGTGTGTGCTGAAGATGTATTGTGTTCTGTTTGTAGTTGGACCGTGCTTCCAACGGTATCATTTATAGTGCCACCTCACTTGAATGCTACAGCACAGATACCGCAACACCCACCCCAGACCATTTTATACTCCAGCTGGGTTGTTGGAGTTGTGTGGGCAGGAGAAAAACACTTTCTCTAATATTCCATGCGTGCGGCGACTTCGGGGATCAAACCCCGTCCGCCTGCTTGGAAAGCCGGAGTGTTAACCACTCGACCAATCCGCCCATATACTTTCAAACTTTCCTTTTCAGATTTTTTTTTCTAGTTTGAAATTTTAAGTTCACAAATGCCAGGAAACAACATCACAAACATTGAATCTTGCACTTTACATGTATTAACAAAATTGATGTTTTTTTTTTTTTTTTTTTTTTTTAAAAACAAACAAAAAAACATAATATTTTGTAATGAATTATTTGTTTTAAACACTCAAGCTTGATTACAAGCAAGCAATCACTGCCAACAGAGCATTTTCTAAGTAATGAAGATTTATGAATATCTCTTTTCCGTGAATATATAACAGAAAATATTCCAAAAGCAACAAGATTTAAGTGGCGCTTAAATGTCTTTAAGAAGTCACACAAGGAATTACTGAAAATTTGATTTATTGAATCAGAGGCAAATTCCTAATATCTGTCCCATATCTCACTGGTTTTTACGAAGACATTCGACCTAATTTGTATCATCAGCATACCAAATCAAAATGAAGTAGGAAAACTAGAACTGTAAGCCACAAGCTAATTTATACGCCTGCTTCCCCTTAAACATTGCTGAAACAAAGTTGATTGCAATGTACAGTTTTATCAACTGATGACCATCAATGTGTAAGTTTCCTCTGTCTATTAGAAGGTTTTATGAGCATTTTTCAAGACATTTTATAAATGTAAGAGACGAGGGCAGCTTACGAAGCTAATCTGAGCTTTGAGCAAACATTCTGGAGTGAGGAGATCTAGGGAAGGAAAATGTCATTCTTTTTAACAGCGACCTTGACTTGTGACATATCTCCCAAAAAAGAATTCACAAGTTTGAGAATTGTGTGATTATTCGTTCTGAAGGCAGCTTCCAGATAGGATGTGATTTTTTGTTTAAAGTAACAGTGACCTTGACCTTTAGCAGACCATATTGAAATGTAATATCTTTTTTTTTCTGTTTCCTACAACAACTCGCATGTAAAGCCTGAGCTTTGAGCAATCTTGTTTTTCTCCTAAGTTAGGATCTGAACAAGAAAATTCCAGGGAAGGAGATTGGGGAAGTGTGTACTTATGTGTGACAGGACAGATTTGACACTTAGCCATCCTCCAGTGTGTACTTGTGACAGGACAAAGTTGACACTTATCCATTCTCCAGAGGGTATTTATGTGTGACGGGACAAAGTTGACACTTATCAATTCTCCAGTGTGCATTTGTGACGGGACAGATTTGACACTTACCCATCCTCCAGTGTGTACTTGTGACGGGACAGATTTGACACTTACCCATCCTCCAGTGTGTACTTGTGACGGGACCGAGTTGACACTTATCCATCCTCCAGTGTGTACTTGTGTGTGACGGGACCGAGTTGACACTTACCCATCCTCCAGTGTGTACTTGTGTGTGACGGGACCGAGTTGACACTTACCCATCCTCCAGTGTGTACCAATGTGTGATGGGACAGAGTTGACACTTACCCATCCTCCAGTGTGTACCATTGTGTGACAGGACCGAGTTGACACTTACCCATCCTCCAGTGTGTACTTGTGACAGGACAGAATTGACACTTACCCATCCTCCAGTGTGTACCAATGTGTGACGGGACAGAGTTGACACTTACCCATCCTCCAGTGTGTACTTGTGTGTAAAGGCCAGGAGGTCAGCAGCACGACCACTCCCATCACAGACAACAACAGGGACGGGTGGGGAGTCGGTGACATACTCCAGAACAGACCGTATGGTATTGGCCCCACCCTCCAACACCACACATATGACAGGCACACCACGACCCTTGACACCACTTGCTGAAAATACATAAGATTTCGATAAAAGTTTACACCCTGACTTTGGCGCAGAGATTCTCATCGGGGCAATGAACCCATGACAGGTCTGTTTCTATTGTTCACTTGCTGTACCCAGTCATTCAGCAAGTATTCGGTATAGTCCATCTCCACATAGCTAAGATGATGTAACATTTGTACACACACAGTACAGGAAGTCTCTGATTTTAATGTTGCAATACAATACCAGTTTTGAGCAGTGTTCAATATCACGGCATGAATTTGACGACAGGAATGTCTGCCACGTTCTGTTCTGCTTATCTTCTTGCAGCATCATTTGGCATCGTAATTTGTTTAATGTCAATTTATAAAAAACATACCAACACTTTTACAAAATGTCACACCATGTTTCAATTTCAATTCACCACACTTAAAGCCATCGAGAGAATCGTTGAGTCATCGAACACCTTAGATGACATATGAAGCTAATCTCACAAAAAAAATGAATCCCAACCATCAACTGTCAAGATTTTTTTCACTGCAACACCATGGCTGCAACCATATTTCTTCTCAACATTCAATTTGAAACAATCCCTGAAGCAAAATATGTGAGATAGCGTTGACATTTGAACAGTCTAAGACTAGATGGTTCTGCAATAAACCAGACACCTTGTAGTTCAGAATGTTTGACACCACATGGAGCTGTATATCTACACCAGGAAATGCTGACTACTCAGACACCAGATGGTGCTGTATGTTCTGACACCAGGTGGTGCTGTATGTTCCAACACCATGTGGTGATGTATGTTCCGACACCAGGTGGTGATGTATGTTCCGACACCAGTCGGCGCTGTATGTTCCAACACCAGGTGGCGCTGTATGTTCCGACACCAGGTGGTGATGTATGTTCCGACACCAGACGGCGCTGTATGTTCTGACAACAGTTGGTGCTGTATTTTCGGACACCAGGTGGTGCTGTATGATCCGACACCAGGTGGTGCTGTATGTTTAACACCAATAGTGCTCTTCTCATCCCATTCTGGAGGTTACATGGGACAGTGGTGTGTTTTAGTCTGGGCTGGCTGATTCAGGAGCCAGACGGTTTGTGATGGGACTCATCATGAGGATGTTGGCCCTAAGTGGTATGACAGACACCTGAATCATGTACCTACACATCCCCACACAGTGGTAAGATGGATGGTGCCAGTGCAGCGGCATGATACACATCCCAATACACATATTCAATATCTACTATACCACTATTGCCAATATGTATCTTATACTTCTGTTAATATTTACAATAAATCTCAGGAACAAAGATGAAAAACTTCTGCAATATTAATTGACAACTCTTCAAGTATTCTAATATTATGTAATGAAATATAAAATACATATCACACTTCAAAATAAAACACAAATATTTAGCTCAAAATATGAAAATTAGAAATATGTACGTTATGATCACAACAGCTTTCTGGGTGTATAACTTTCAAATTGGATGGTACAGCAAAGTTACTGACACTGAGTCTGGTGAGCACATGTGTGATCATCCACCTCCTCTCCACACAGACAGGACAAATGATTACATCTGTACACAATCCCCTGCTATAACATAACACTACAGTAGTAACAGCCATCCTAACCAGACTTCATCTTTCCAAGCATGCTGAGGCTGATATTTCTTTCTTTTCCCCCTAACACACTATTCAGGATTTGTGCTGTAGTCAATAAATGTGTAATTAAAATGAATATTATTCTTAGTAGCAATAATTTATGCATCAATAAAATGTCTACATCATTGGGTTTGTGTTTGTGCTAGGTGTCTACATCATTGGGTTTGTGTTTGAGCTAGGTGTCTACATCATTGGGTTTGTGTTTGAGCTAGATGTCTACATTATTGTGTTTGTGTTTGTGCTAGGTGTCTACATCATTGTGTTTGTGTTTGAGCTAGTGTCTACATCATTGGGTTTGTGTTTGAGCTAGTGTCTACATCATTGGGCTTGTGTTTGTGCTAGGTGTCTACATCATTGGGTTTGTGTTTGAGCTAGATGTCTACATCATTGGGTTTGTGTTTGAGCTAGGTGTCTACATCATTGGGTTTGTGTTTGAGCTAGGTGTCTACATCATTGGGTTTGTGTTTGAGCTAGGTGTCTACATCATTGGGTTTGTGTTTGAGCTAGGTGTCTACATCATTGGGTTTGTGTTTGAGCTAGGTGTCTACATCATTGGGTTTGTGTTTGAGCTAGGTGTCTACATCATTGGGTTTGTGTTTGAGCTAGGTGTCTACATCATTGGGTTTGTGTTTGAGCTAGGTGTCTACATCATTGGGTTTGTGTTTGAGCTAGGTGTCTACATCATTGGGTTTGTGTTTGAGCTAGGTGTCTACATCATTGGGTTTGTGTTTGAGCTAGGTGTCTACATCATTGGGTTTGTGTTTGAGCTAGGTGTCTACATCATTGGGTTTGTGTTTGAGCTAGGTGTCTACATCATTGGGTTTGTGTTTGAGCTAGGTGTCTACATCATTGGGTTTGTGTTTGAGCTAGGTGTCTACATCATTGGGTTTGTGTTTGAGCTAGGTGTCTACATCATTGGGTTTGTGTTTGAGCTAGGTGTCTACATCATTGGGTTTGTGTTTGAGCTAGGTGTCTACATCATTGGGTTTGTGTTTGAGCTAGGTGTCTACATCATTGGGTTTGTGTTTGAGCTAGGTGTCTACATCATTGGGTTTGTGTTTGAGCTAGGTGTCTACATCATTGGGTTTGTGTTTGAGCTAGGTGTCTACATCATTGGGTTTGTGTTAGAGCTAGGTGTCTACATCATTGGGTTTGTGTTTGAGCTAGATGTCTACATCATTGGGTTTGTGTTTGAGCTAGGTGTCTACATCATTGGGTTTGTGTTTGAGCTAGGTGTTTACATCATTTGGTTTGTGTTTGTGCTAAGTGTCTACATCATTGGGTTTGTGTTTGTGCTAGGTGTTTACATCATTGGGTTTACTGGGTTGTGATGGAACAGACTAAGTACCTACATCACTGAGTGTACTGGGTTGTGATAGAACTGGCTAAGTACCTTCATTATTGGGTGTCCTGGGTTGTGATTGAACAGACTAAGTACCTTAGTCACTGGGTGTGCCTGGTTGTGATCGAACAGACTAAGTACCTTAGTCACTGGGTGAACCTAGTTGTGATGGAACAGACTAAGTACCTTAGTCACTGGGTGAACCTAGTTGTGATGGAACAGACTATGTACCGACATCGCTGAGTGTACTGGGTTGTGATAGAACTGGCTAAGTACCTTCATTATTGGGTGTCCTGGGTTGTGATTGAACAGACTAAGTACCTTAGTCACTGGGTGAACCTAGTTGTGATGGAACAGACTCAGTACCTTAGTCACTGGGTGTGCCTGGTTGTGATCGAACAGACTAAGTACCTTAGTCACTGGGTGTGCCTGGTTGTGATCGAACAGACTAAGTACCTTAGTCACTGGGTGAACCTAGTTGTGATGGAACAGACTCAGTACCTTAGTCACTGGGGGTGCCTGGTTGTGATGGAACAGAATCATTGGGTTTGTGTTAGAGCTAGGTGTCGACATCATTGTGTTTGTGTTAGAGCTAGGTGTCGACATCATTGGGGTTGTGTTTGAGCTAGGTGTCCACATCATTGGGTTTGTGTATGTGCTAGGTGTCTACATCGTTGGGCTTGTGTTTGTGCTAGGGGTCGACATCATTGGGTTTGTGGTTGTGCTAGGTGTCGACATCGTTGGGTTTGTGTTTGAGCTAGTGTCTACATCATTGGGGTTGTGTTTGAGCTAGGTGTTTACATCATTGGGTTTACTGGGTTGTGATAGAACTGACTAATAAAAGTACCTACATCACTGAGCGTACTGGGTTGTTATAGAACAGACTAGATACCTACATCACTCGGTATTCCAAGTTGTGATGGAACTGACTAAGTGGTTTGTGTTTGAGCTAGATGTCTCCATCATTGGGTTTGTGTATGTGCTAGGTGTCTACATGATTGGGTTCGTGTTTTAGCTAGGTGTCTACATCATTGGGTTTGTGTTTGTGTTAGGTGTCTACATCATTGGGTTTGTGTTTGTGCTAGGTGTCGACATCATTGGGTTTGTGTTTGAGCTAGGTGTCTACATCATTGGGTTTGTGTTTGTGCTAGGTGTCTACATCATTGGGTTTGGGTTTGTGCTAGGTGTCTACATCATTGGGTTTGGGTTTGAGCTAGGTGTCTACATCATTGGGTTTGTGTTAGAGCTAGGTGTCTGCATCATTGGGTTTGTGTTAGAGCTAGGTGTCTACATCATTGGTTTTGTGTTTGAGCTAGGTGTCTACATCATTGGGGTTGTGTTTGTGTTAGGTGTCTACATCATTGGGATTGTGTTTGTGCTAGGTGTCGACATCATTGGGATTGTGTTTGAGCTAGGTGTCTACATCATTGGGTTTGGGTTTGAGATAGGTGTCTACATCATTGGGTTTGTGTTTGAGATAGGTGTCTACATCATTGGGTTTGTGTTTGATCTAGGTGTCTATATCATTGGGTTTGTGTTTGTGCTAGGTGTCTACATCATTGGGCTTGTGTTTGAGATAGGTGTCTACATCATTGGGTTTCTGTTTATGCTAGGTGTCTACATTATTGGGTTTGTGTTTGTGCTAGGTGTCTACATCATTGGGTTTGTGTTTGAGATAGGTGTCTACATCATTGGGTTTGTGTTTATGCTAGGTGTCTACATTATTGGGTTTGTGTTTGAGCTAGGTGTTTACATTATTGGGTTTGTGTTTGTGCTAGGTGTCTACATCATTGGGTTTGTGTTTGAGCTAGTGTCTACATCATTGTGTTTGTGTTTGAGCTAGTGTCTACATCATTGTGTTTGTGTTTGAGCTAGTGTCTACATCATTGTGTTTGTGTTTGTGCTAGGTGTCTACATCATTAGGTTTGTGTTTGAGCTAGATGTTTACATTATTGGGTTTGTGTTTGTGCTAGGTGTTTACATCATTGGGTTTACTGGGTTGTGATTTA